TAAGTCGTAAGCCGAGGGGGGCTAGAGTATGAGAGACGTAAGCCAAGGTAAGCTTGGTGCTACCTCTTTGTTTTATTTGATTTTATTATTTGCTTATGAAGAATTGTGATTGAGAGAAGTATTGTTGAAACTATGATTAAAATATTATGGAATATGACTTTGGATTGACCGTTTTGGAGAAAATTTGTGACCTTGAGAATTGAAATTATCGAATTGTATTGTGTTAAGTAAAGATATTGAATTCTGTGTGATGAATTGAGAAATTGAATATAATAAGTAAGCTAGAGATCAGTAATTGAATATATATAAATCGCAAAGAGAGTAAGTGGGAGAATATGAACTGATAAGAATATGAAAGTATTGTTGAATTGATAGTTGTAAAATGGATTATGTATTGAATTAAGATAGAAGTAGTAAGCCTTGGTATTTTATAGTTTGATAATTGATTTTAGATAGCTAGAATACAGTCAATTGTGACAGTAATAGATCCAATTCATATAACTAGTCTTTCCCCGTGTTTGAACCCACCTCTACTAGTTCAATTGCTTTGTATATTGAAGCTTGAACACAACTAGAACAACAAGTTATCACCAAGTTTTTTTAGACCAATGATGAATTTAAAGAGAATGTTCTAACATACTAGATTTTAGACTTCTTTGGATTTGAATAACTATAATATGGACCTTAGATCCACTAAACTATATATATATATATATATATATATATATATATATATAATTTATTCAAATAATTTTAATAACTAAGTATTTATCAAGTTAGCTTAATATCTAAGATCAACAATAATTCTTAATGGTCAATGTGTTGATTCTATAATATTCTATACATATTTGTAAGGATCCATACTTTTCTTCATAAAGAAGATTAATGCATCTATAAAAAAAATTCAAATGTCAAATAAAATTAGTTTAATTTTTTTATAATTTTTTATATTAATTTATTATTTCAACATAGAAAGTTCTTTCTATAACATATTGTAGATTGATTTAAATGGTAGTGAGTTCTTTTCTGAAAGTTAATTGCAAAATTATGAGGTTGATGTTTTGAAAATATGCTAGACTTTCTCTATTCAAATACAACTTGTTATTCTTTATATTACTTTGAAATTTAATTTCAACATTAACTTAAATGAGGACTTAATGTTGGATAGAGAAAAAAAATAGATATCCTTCTTTTTCTACCTGTATAATTGCCTTAGATATCAGAAATAGAAGTTTTAATTTTATAGGCACAAGATATATATATATATATATATATATATATATATAGATATATTTTGATATTTTCTTAGAATAAAAAAATATCTAACAAGATAAAAGTAGAAAAAATAAAGTTTTAGATTATAAAACAGTAGAGGATTTAGAAGATGATATAAGATGATGTCGTTTAAAAATTCTAGTTGCATTGTTTTTAATGCTTGTATGCAAATATGTTTTTTAATACATATTTTTTTTTAAAATTATATTACTTGTAGTTTTGCCTTTTATTAAAACAATTTTGAAGACCTTATTTTGATTCTCTATAATATAAGTACAATTTTTCTTATTAATATTAAGTTTTTTCCTACTATAAGATTTTTATTTTTTTATTGCCATATTAGTTTCACCATTTTTTTATTCATAGATTAAAACATTGCCTAAAATATATTTGAGATGAATAATATAAGATCTTGTTGTTTTAAAAATGATAAAAATAAAAAAAATCTATTGTAGAAAAAATCTTATAAATTTAACTTGAGATGCTGGATTAAATATATAATAAACTAGAGCTTAATAAAAAATAATAATAATAAAAAAAAATTGTTGACAAATCCTTAAAACTTGGATCTAATACCATCAAACTTCTCTAGAGGAGTAATTTTTGGTTTCTTAGTTGATACAATAGCAAAAAAATGCTATATTAAAGATCTATTATAAATATTATTATAATATCAAAAGATTTTTAATATAATATTTATAGGTTTAATAGAACTTCTTAAAATATTAATTTAGACCAAATTCTAAAGTAATTTTTGAATTTATTATTAGATGTTAATATAATTTCACAAAACTTGTGGATATTTTAAAGTATTTAAAAAATAATTTATACATACATGCTTACATACATCCAAAGTTTTAAAGTTATTAGTCAACATATTTTAATATTATATGTTATGTAAAAATTTTAAATTGTATAATAAAAAAACATATCAATTTATATAAATTTTACATAATTTATTAATTTATTAAATTTAAGTTTATCAATCCATTTTTATTTCAAAAACTGCTAATTAGACACCCTTCTTTTACTGCATGGACACTCTTGTTTTAGTTTGAAGACATCTTCAATGCCTCAGATCAATTTGGAAAAAATTAAAAAATTATCTTTATTTGAATTTGTGTCTAAAGAATAATGTATTTTATTTAGTACTTGAATTCAAGTAAAATCACAATCAACTTTTTAGCATCCATGAACATATAATATAATGAAAGTTAAATAATAAATAAATAAATTTAAAATGGATTTTATTTTATTTATATTAAAATTTAAGTAACACTTATAATACGAGAGTCTTCAAATACAATTTGAAATGATGTTTTTTTTTTTTTAATTTTTTTAATTAAATCAATGTATAAAAGAAAGGTGTCCATGCAACCATTTTTTAAATTCTATTATCCATTTATTAATTATATATATATATATATATATATATATATATATAGATATGAAAAACTCAATAGAATTATAGTTGGTAAGTTTATAAAAAACTTGAATTAAAAAATTAAATATTTAAATATATTAATAAATAAGAAAATATTAAAAAAATTAAAAATTTTGAAAAATATTTATAAATTTTATTTGTATTTTAATTTTCTAAAATTTACCACAATCAAATTATATCCTAGTTTTTTACTTGGAGCAAGAAATTATATTATTAACAATAAATTGTATATTTTTTATAATTTAATAATACAGGCATGTAAATATTTATAGGAGATTTTTTAATACTAATAATAAATAATTTCTATACAATTTTCAATACGTTATAAAGATATCATGGCGATAAATTAGAAACAACCTCCAAAGTTCCACAGCTGCTCATCTATTCTTTGGGATGACTTTCGCCACACAAAATCCATTCATTCATATCATCGTTTCATCCGTTTCGAGCATATTCTGTTGGTGTCGGTACCGACAGCTTGTTCCTTCTCCCAACTGCTCAAATCAAGCAGTTATTGAAGCACGTCTTTCTTATCGAGTTACGAAGCTTCGCAAATCCTAGAGGGACTCCTTATCCGGTGGGTATCGAGTTCGATCCGATCATGTGGCCGATTCACTTACACTTATGTCTCATAATTTGGCTAGAAGTTGAGAAACACCGAGGATTGACAAGGTAGAGATCCATTGTTTTCCACTTTCAGATACTTTCATCACTAATGCGCAACCACCCATTGAAGTTAATACAATGATCGGAGTCATCAGACAAGTCATGAGATGCGACAGAGGGATAACCTCGTCACGCTAACTTAACCAACCTTAACTGAGAATGCAATCTCGGTGTTGATCGTGATGATTGATCTGGTTTACTGTTCATGTTGTTTGATTATCCCTGTCGAACTGATTTGAGGGTGTTGCTGACAGCGACGGGCTTACCTTCAAAGTCTAGAACCTTGTAGAACGTTCACAGAAAAACAGAATTGATGACTAGCCTTGGGATCAGTGGTTGAGGAAACCGGTGAAAATCTCTTGTGAGAATTTATGAATTGCGATGGAGAAATTTGTACACCTAGGATGGTAGAGTTTGCTTCCTCGACGCGTGCGTATTGCCTGCCTTCATTATCAACTGATTCTGCAGATGGACGCCATGTGCCATCAGGGCAAATCCATTTGAGTCATGAGTACTAAATTCAGAGTATTAAACAACCAAGTCATGCAGTATCATACTTCTGTCCTCCAAATTGGCAGAAGTAAACCATCACACCATGTCAATTCCATTGCATTGTCTAAACTGCAGGGGCATGGGCACGAGAGGATCATCCACATCATAATGCCACCTTCAGAGCAGCCGGGTGATAGCGACTCACGGAGATCATCACTGTTGCTTCCCTTCTGAATCCACAACAAACTTGATAAGGGTGATATGTTTCTCAATTAAATGAGAAGCTTAAAACTCTACCTTCGTAGGATCTAAGACAGCTCTCGATAATGGAAAAAATAGGTGAATCGTATTAAGTTTATTAATTTTTTAAATGAAAAGAAGAAAGAAGGAAGGAAGGAAATAAATAAATTGAAAGAAATAATTCTTGTTCTTCAGTGAAGAGTTTCATCAATGTTGTACCTGAATTCAGATCATTGGTTAACAGGACAGAGTTAGACAAAGATGCAACATGTGTTTTCATTTTTCGTTATATTTTGTCATTCTTCGAATTTCTTGAATGGAAGAGGAGAAATTAAGCAGTAAATGAGAATTCAGGGCAAATTTCATGCGACACACTTCAACTGAAATCCTCAGCAGTCTCGAACCATTCTCTCATTTCATTTGTTGATTTGCTGGCTACAATACAATTAACCCAATCACCACTCTCGGTAAGTTCTGAGAACTTCTCACATTGCTTGATATGAAACGGATTTTCTCACACGCCAAACAAGTTTTTTTCAACAATGTTCACACTCCTCAAAATAGAGAACCTGCCTGAAAGAAGGCGCATAACGTTTCCTGCTAATGCCAAACCAACAGAGCCATTCCAACAAGACAGCCGAAATCCACGTAGCCCTTCTCAAGCTCATGACCTCCAAATTGAATTTGCCAAGTTGGTCGGGATCGATTATGTTGTGTGTACCACATCACGTGATTTGCATCTGACAATGCGAAAGATATGGTGTTCACCGGTGTGACATGTACAACACATGTTGTACATCAACCACTTGAGTTCCGGGTACCATCTGCCATGGTCAGATCCAGTCTTAGAGGAAGTATTTAACCAACAACAATAGCAACGCTTCCACGACGCCTCGGACTCTTTATACGGACCATCCGAAGTAGCGTTCCAATCCTCCTGCATACAGTTTGATTTGTGTCCTCTTCACAACGATGGCGAATAGCTCTGCTGTGCTTGTTTTGCTGGTGGTAACGCTTCTAGTTGCGACTCTGTTGAAGGAAACACAAGCTGCATGCGGTTCCTCCTATGATTTGGCGGCATGCCTACCGGCTGCAGAGTCGGACATCCAGCCGTCTGCCCAATGCTGCACCCAACTAAGCTCCTACCTGGCCACCGACACCCCCGAGGAGTGCCTCTGTCAGACTGCGTATAGTCCGTTCTTTCAATCTGGGGCAGACATCCAGTTCGCCATCAAAATCCCGCAGAAGTGCAACCTCTCATATAGGGCTGGCATTCAATGCAATGGTACAAATTGTGCTGTCAAATTAGTTCTCTTGGCTCATTTAATATCATCTCTTACCATCGTGACCTTGTTCCATGGATGATTGCGCAAACTGACAACAGTTCGGATGGTATCATGTTGTGCAGGAAATACTATTCCTGGAGGCCAGTAGACAACAATAGAGTTGTTCTTCGTTATAGTTTTGCTCGTTGATTATAGTTGTTTCAAGGATATTACCTTAATGTCCTCTTCTCGCAGGAATTAGAACATTGCATAATAGGTCGAATAAATTGATTGATATTAAATTATTCATCTTACTGACTGCAGCATCGAGAAACTAGGCAGTCGCATTTGACTTCAGTTACTCACATAAATAAGCACCTTTGTTTGGATTAATCTACGGGCAATTTTTTGCGGAATTGTACATGTATTGATAATCGCGGTGATAGAAGTGAATGTGGCCAGCAGGGAGACTAGCGATGAGTCGATTGTGCGATGGAAGAGATCCTGATCCAGATCTAGGAAAAGGAACTCCAAGAGAATCACGTCATTTCTTGAGAAATCTGCGATCAAAGTGTCTGAGTGATTACGTGGACTGGACAAAGAATTGTTGTCCTCAGTAAAATTGGGACAAAAAAATAAAGCAAAAACAAAATCGTGTTGGATATTTCACAGCACTTTATAAATCCATCTCCTGTATAACTTTTACAGTTGACTAATAACTACGTAATTCATTAGAGGCTGGACAATGTAATACGGAAAACCTTCTTTTGAATAGGATCAGCTTGAATCAAATAAATGATTAAATAAAGCTTGTCAAGGATCTCCACATTTAAAACTCCCTCAATATGTGCAGAAAATTAGTGTTCAACATCCATTGGTCACGATACAGCACAACTTCGAAATTCTAAGAACATTGTGTGTGCTCTGTTTCCTAATGAACACTTGACTTCCCAGATTGAAAGAAAAATAGATGTTTCTATCTCTTTTGCAAACTGACATACACCTCTTGAATCTAAAAATCTAGGTGCGTGAATCTGGACTAAGAGTTAAACAAGCGGTAGTACTGATGCAATGGATACAACACGCTTCTCAAGAGCATTACCTTGCTGGACCAGACTTTGAGTCCTTTCCTCGGATGTACCATAGTATTTGAGCCAGCGTCATTTACTAAATTCTCCAGCTTTTCAGTCCAGCTACGTATTAACAGAACGGAATGCAACATGCAGATGAATTTGAGTGGAATCTTGGAAAAAGAAACCTATTTGAAAGCAATACATCCACTTCATTGAAGTTTCAGAGTTGCATATGGAAGCCATATCCATTCGACAGCAAAGCTTGGAACCGTTCGATATTAACACTTGGGAATATGCTCCAACACAAAATCCAAAGCACATTAGTTTTAACCATAACCGCATCTGTGGTGACATCTTTGGTCACTCGCAGTCAATAAAGTTTGCGTAGATTAGTGAAGCCAGCAAAGAAAGAGAGGGAATTCTCGATCACGTCACAAATCTAGCAGGTGTGGCATCCCGACCCACAGGTCTTCACTGGAAAGGACTCCTACCCACACTGTAATCGATTCTTTCCAATACGGAGCAGATGACTAAGCGCTAATCCTCTCTCAGCTGGACAAGGTTGTCATGGAGCGAGCCGGCATTATTTGATGGCACAGTTTTGCAGTGTGTGGATCCGACATGGGAAGCTAACACCAGAATTTTCTTTCTAATTCTTCGATCGCTTTATCATCATTCCCCATCTCAAGTAACTTTCTCAGAACTACTTCAAGTGTTATTGTGGAACTCTGCAAGCTCAACTCTCCGTTAGGTTGCCGAAGATTCAGGGTTTCAGGGCTGCGATATGAATTTGTACAGTTATACGCCTGCAGTCTGAAATTCAGAATCCAATGTGGTGAGTTGCGAAGGTGACTACACTCAAGGGCTGAGACGAACACGACTGCGGCAAGTAACATTTTTGAATATCCATCTAGCTGTGTCGACATGTATTCATTAGTGTGGTTCACCGTTTCTTACGCAACACCGTTTTGCACATTCTTAATTAACTTTCTGAGTCTCTGTGTCACGTTCAAGTCGACATTCCGTGTCTCATTCTGACGGAGAATGCAGACGTTGAGGAGCTGCTTTATGCTTAATAGTATTTACTTCGACTTTAGAGACCCAAGTAGTGAACAATTGGCTCTAATGATTCCGCTCACTGTCAGATCCGGTTGCTTACACATCCATAGAAAGTTACGATCATAGTCCTAGTTAGAAGCAGTTGACTTAGACAATGTCGCAATAACCTCACTTCCTTATCCACGTCGAGCTCTGCCCTGTACACGTGCCATCAACCAAGCTGGTGACGAGCGGCGAATCCTATGTCATGTCAAGTAAAAAATTCAAGGTTTTTAGTATTTATTATTATTCAAATTAAGATTCTAAGATACTTTAACCTTTTGCCGTTTCTCAGAACTTTCTCCAGGTAGCGAATCTAGGCATGGTAACAGTCGTTAATGTTAACAGAGAATGGTTCTTTTCATCTCCGTCATGGGTCTTCGAACAAGCATGTTCTGTCATGGAGCGAGACAGTGCTGAGACTTAAAAAAACACCATAAAATCAGTGAAACAAGTCGACTTGCACATCGCAATCTATCTGCTGTGGCGACTCTTGATGTTACTAAAAGTTCACGGACTCACAAGATCGAGTGATTGGATAACAGAAGAGAAATCCCAGACTCGTGCCACCGTGTATACTAATCTCGAGCCTCGATTTCATGTCTTAACGCAATGGACATCGACAAAGTGCTTTGTCGTTTAATATTCTGGGACCTTACGCTCGACCCTGTTGTCTCGTTGCAGTCATTGAAATATTGTCATCGTACTCTAAGAACATTTAAAATCTTCGGTTCGTCGATTTGATCCTTGAGAATCAGAAAAGTTAAGCTGTTCCAAACAGCATGCGCTGCATTCCTTGGGTTTTGTGACCCTTTGCTGACATTCAGATGCATCGACAAGATTTATCAGGTGACAGTTCCTTCTATAAGTACGCAGGGGGGAAAACAAGAGTATCTAACGGTGCATTTGGTCCCGATTAGACCTTCTAGTCCCGCAGATGAGCTAGTCATCTGTCAGTGATTGTGATACATCTTCGAAGTCTCTTGCATTGATGGAATGTGGCCGTAGGGAATCTTGTACTTGGTATATGATTGGACACCCAACACAGGATGTAGTGGTGTTTGAAATCAAATGTTCAAAAAAAAAAAAAAAAAAAAAAAAAGGCTTTGTTGAGAGTAAATGCACGCCATGAAAATTAATGTTGCGCAATCATTCACCTCCTGAAGCATCGACCTTCATCTTCAGCACATTATAACGCCGCGTTTTAAATTCCAGAAAAGCCATTTGATGCACAGCACTACAACTTACTACATTGAAGAGAAACCGCTAGCGACAAATTCCTCCTGCTATGAAGAGATGTCACCTTGCTAATCTGCTTTAATGTCGTCTAGTTCATCCGGGTCATACTAAAACGGGGAAGTCACCAACTCTTGATCAGAAAGAGAGGCTTCTTGACAGCGAATAACCAACAGAAGCACGGAACGCTTCAACTGTTGCGCTCAATGAGAAGCAATATTGGTTGTCCTCGCTGAAATATTTGCTGCGATTTTCCAAATTGTGACCAACAGGTAACCTTCACGCCTCCACTTCAAGTTTTAGAGTTCTAGAAATGCGAAAAAACTATCTCAGCATTTCGGAACTGGATGGGATCCGTGTCATCGAGCATTGTATCGATCCAAAACTCTTTCATGTTCACTTGAATGACAATGTTCCAATTCATATCATTTTTAATTCGAAAGCGTGCTTCTGTCTCACTTTTTTAAGTTGTTGTTTGAACCAAAAGGATCTCAAGCAACAGCTTGCCCTCGCTAACCTTAGCAATTATATAATATTATCATAAAACATGATCTGCCATGCGGAATTATCACATATATCCTGGGGCAGTTAACTGACACCAGCTTGACTCCAAGAAGTAAAACGCGGAATGGGACATCTAATTAGACAAAAATCTCAATACAAATAGGAGTTTGGAATGCCAGAAACCAGAAAAGGCACAAGATACCAGGGGCAGTCACAAAATCCATTCCTGACGGGGCAAGTCAAGCGACCCACAGTCGACTTGTTATCCCTTTTCCTCACAGGAAGGTGCAGGACGACTCCAGCCACAAGGGCACGGATTAAAAGAAGATGGTGAATTCTAGCACCAGATTCAAGCCCACTGGGCCCCAGACAGCTGATTCCCACCAATGATGGTCGATTCTTGTTGCTACGTGCAGGGCTTGCGCACACCTTCCATCTCGGAGCCCACTTCTGTCACGCCAGCGCAGAGCGCGTCCCACCCGATGGCAGTAATCTCTAGAACTACAGTATCCTCTGTACCCAAGGGCCCCATACACTTCATTCCTTCTTACCTGCATAGATCCAAGACACAAGCGATTTACCAATAAATAACCACTGTCGCCTTATTCAGTGGCAGCCATTCCATTATAGCAAGGGCCGGCAGCGACGAGGGTAAGTGTTGATAATTATCATCATAGGAAGATGTGGCGAGCTGTCAAAAGTGATCCAGCCTGGGCAGCCCAAGCGGGTTAAGTGATGACTCACAGGACCTGGTTAACTTGCAGCATATGGCATGAAGCTAAAAGCGGTGGGATGATGCTCCTTCGTGCCATTCCATTCTCCATTGGTGCATTTTGTGTTGTTTCCAACGTTCTTGAAGCGACAGCAACGATTTCCATCTGTCTTGTGGAACGATTCTTGCGCAGTCTCTCCAACGTCTCCTTCCCCTTCCTCGTGATAGAGGATCCTCTCAAATCGACGGTTATATCTCAAGGAAGATCATCAGTTCAAGTCAGCCCAGTCGTAGAAATAACCAAAGCGTTCTCAAAAAAATCCAGAAACGTTCACAGCGAAAGTTACTAGCCAATGGGTCCTTTTGAACAAACGCAAAACTACAAAAAACGGTGCTGGCAACGTGGAATTCATCGCATGGACTTTGTCAAAAGTGAAAAGATTCCTACTTAGCCTGCTCACTCCCCGTGGGACACGAGCACCACTCCACCACGTGGACGCCAACATCCAGAGTAAAACTCGAGCTCAGTTACTGCCACCAATCTGCTGGCGTGTATCCTTGAAAGGTCAAATTTGGCCGAAAGAACCCATTTTAATGACAACCATGTGGCAGCGTAGATCGTGCACTCAACCGCAGCCCAATTGCAAACCAATTATGCAGACTCTGTTGTTGTTTTCACCGTCGGGGCTTCGTTCACCGTCTTGCCCGCTGGCTGACTGGCTCGCTACGTCGCGACCGCGCTCCCGAACAGCCCTGGAAACCATTTCCTTGACTGACCTCGGAATGTCAGGTTTTCTGATGTTTTGCGAAGGCGTGGTATTAAATGGAACGGAAAAGTGCATTGGGCTTGTTTCTTAACTTTGTTAGCTTATTATCTTAATAGAGACCACACTCTGTTTTCTTCGTTTGAGAGAAAGAGAGAGAGGCAATATTTCGCTGTTTCTTATTCATAAAAATCTCTCTCTCTCTCTCTCTCTCTCGATATATATATATATATATATATATATATATATTATCAATGTTATTTTCAAATTCAAGGTGTAATTTATCATTGTTTTTT